AGCATAGCATCTACTTATCGTGGAAGTGGCATTGTTTCAGATAACTGCACGCAGCGAAAACATCAAACATCAAAATAAAATGTTGATAATTATTGATAGGTGATAAAAGTCTTTCAGTATCTCTTGTTATATCAAAAAACCAGTAAACAAATCGTATTGCAACACGAGCCAATCGAGATCAAGAGGATGTAATATTTTATAAATTCCAATCTTAATTTTACTCCTGAACAAGCCTCTCTTCAAATATTGGGTGCGTCTCACTTGTTGTATTTCACATACGTTTATGTTATTCTCTTTATAAAACCCTACAAGTAAAATATAGACTTAAGTCGAAAAAGGACAATAGTGTTTTATAAAATATTATCATTGTCCTGAAAGATGTTAAACATATTCACACGATGAATAGCACGATTTCAGTAAGTAAGGTTCGCTTCTAACTTTTCTCAGAGTTAAAAAGAAAAACTCCAATATTAAAAATTCTGGAAGAAATTGAAAAATATTTATTAAATATAAATAAGGGAAATAAAAAGTTAGATGATGTTATATGCTATACCTGGTTTTTCCACGATATGAATGAAAACAAACAAATGAAGACACTTCTAATAAAAACATTTGTAGCAGCTTCTTACATTGAAAAATTTATATACATTGCGACCTGCGATCCACAACTACCATGCCTGCATCAGCTGCTAAGCCAGCATCATTATGCACGTTACGTGATGACCGTTTGTTATTATTTATTTGAAAACAAAGTAACAAATTGAATAATAAATAATTCGTGACATTAAATCATATTTGCAAGATCCTCTTTTAACATTCTAAAAAATTCATTTAAAAGTAATTAGACGTATAATTAAGATGAAAGCCCTATTTTTCCCTAAGCACAAATTACAGTACTTAAAACCTGGACATAGTGACATAAAAAAACAAGTACTGTCACAACTGATACTTACTAATAATAATTATTTTTGCAATTCGATTTTACACGACTGAAATTTTTATCATACGGCAGTGCTCCATTGATCCTTGAAATATGCATTGACTAGTGAAACCTCGATTAATATTCGCTTAGTATATATTTACAAAAAGTGATCATTAAGCCTTAGTAGTGAACATTTTTAAACGGAGAAATAAAAATAATAAATGTAATTGTAAAATTATATTAAAATTTTTATTGATTGATTTAAATATAAAATAATTAAAATGGGCAAAAAATTTTGTGTAAAAGACTGTTAAATGGTTCAACATCATTTAGTGCACCAAAAAACAACTAAAGTCTGTTTTTATTATGGATCGAGATTATTTAAATGACTTATGGATTCATTCTAAAAAGAAATAGTCATTTTTGTGGTAAAAATTTCACCGAGAGCGACATTCATGGTAAAATTCTTTTGATTAAGGGGGGGCTAAGGGGGCAAGAGCCCCGGGCTCCTAGATGTGGGATCCATTCGTATTTGGCAAAATCTAATATTTTGAATTAAATTANAAATAAAAACGAAAAGCAGAAATAGTAAATTTCCTGAAAAGTTATAAAATAAAAATAATTGCAACTACTTACTAAAAATTAATGATTTTTATTTGTTTTTAATAAAATTCACCTAACTTATGAGAATATTTGAAGACGAAGATGGGTTAAATTACAAGTTTTTAGGGCATCAACAAAATTTTGGTTTTAAAAATTACACAGTTTTAAAATGCTTCTTTTCTTTTTATTAAAAAAACAATATTTAGCATACACAGTATGCAAGTAAAACATGTATTTCCGATACATTTCATCGTCTTAAAGCTTTAAGGGATTTAAAAAATTACTCTAAGATAAATTTTACATATGTACAATATTTTTAACATGCAATAATGGTTTTGATCTTAAAAACTACGAATTGCTAATTCATATCGTCACTGACTTTCGTAATTGAGTCCAAAAAATGAGTAATATGTTCAAGTCTAATGCCAATCATAATTATGCAAAATGTAATATGCGCACTTACAAGTTGAGGGTAAAATTTTGTTTCAACGTAATCGTATTTATAATATATTGTTTCGTTTTGAATAAACTAATTAAACGTTTTTTTAAATGGAAATAAAATTAAACCAGTAAATACGACCAAAACTTTTTTCTGTATTCAATATAACTAAAAAATGTTCAATTATATTCTAATACACAATTTCAACATAAATTTTTTTCCGTATACTCATCAAATATTTCAGTGAAATTCTTAAAGTTTTGTTAAATAATATTTGCACTAATATTTGTGAAGTACTGAAAAGCTCTTATGAATAATTAAAAAAATTAAATAAAATTAAAAAGCAACTCCTTTTTTACACATATAATAATTTTTGGAAATTTAAGTTACGATCCCAAATAAAGAACAGTATAAAGTATCAGTAGGGAAGCGCGTAAGAATTTTTTTTTACCTACGTTAAGGATAAATACAACACTAATTTTTTAACACTCGAGGAATGAAGCTCAACTTATGGGCGTACGTATATTGTGGATGCGAAGTACCGCTTTGCTGTCTGACGGCACGAAACATCTTGCTGTAGAGCTCGAAAATTTTAATCACGATTTTTTTATGATTATTTGAAATTTACAATTTCTTCTTTTTAAGATGTGTGTATGTGCGAAAACGTTTATAATATGCGCGTGCGCGTGTGTATGTGTGGGCGTGAAGAAGTTTATTTAAACGTTCAAGTATAAAATTTTAACAAATAATTCTTACTTATTTAGTTTTTTATTTTTAGCACTTTTTCCTCCACGGGTACACTACCGGCTTCTGATAGTGAAATAAAAGCTTAAAAAATCGAACAGCCTGGTCAGCTTCACTCAGCAGGCGCAAGATTTGTCTGTTAATCGAGAGAATCTCGACTATCGATTAGCAGACAGCTCAAGTAATCCTGTTTAATTTTTCAAGCTTAAGGCCTGTCTCGTCATTCGAAACTCACCCATCATCCATTGTGTTTACATATGTAACCACCTGAGATTTGTGATTTCTAATACCAAAGTAAAAGTTACTGGAGCTAAACGAATCTTTTAAATGTCGGGTAAAAAATAAGCTAGTGGAGCATCCAAACGAAAGAAAAACTCAGAAATTGCCACGTTACAAAGTAAACTACCGAAAATTACTAGTTTCTGTCGGAAAGATGATCTTGATGTTACACTAACAGACACTAATAATGTATTCGTGCGGCATTGTTTACAAAACTATTCGCTATATCTTCAAACAATATGAGATTTTTGGTATGTAATTTTAACTACTATACCACTTCATTACCTAACCTCTTTTTAAAAGATTATTGTATTATATTTTAAAACATGTAGTCATACAAACTGTATTGCATATATAAACATTCAATGGGTACAATTTTATCAGCGAAGGAAAGTCAAAACTCCTATGCACAGCTCACGAAGAAAGTACATGGATTATTAATAACGATATTAATTATATTAAGCCGGAACGATGGCACAGCGGTGGGGTTGCATATTCGTAGATCATCGAAGGTAAGCTACGTTTGGGTGCGGTTAAAATACTTTGATGAGGTGAACCATCCAAGTCTCGCCGGTTCCATCGTCGTTGTTGATTTCGGGGATCGATTAATTGTTTCTCTCATACGTTGCGGCAAGGTGTACACGAGGTGTGCAGGAGTCAGTCCCACTGTTTATACATATACGCTTAATCAAGATTCAGGCAATACATCAATTATTTATTACACCCTGCTACTCTTCCAACGGAAGCTTCATATCCCATTATCCTATCCCTTTCTTAAGTGACCTTGTGTACCCAGACGTATGACACTATAACATAAAATAATCTATTACTTAGTAGTCTCGTACTTTTTTTTTTTGGGGCATGACATACCATTACGAATGTTTAAAAACAAATTTTTTTATGTTTGTGACTCAACTAATACACTAAAAATAAAATTTTCAACGTTCATAGGCATCAAAGAGCTTGTTGCAGAAAGAATTAATTCTGCTATAATAAATAAAGATGGAAAAGCAACTGAAAACCATATGTAATAGTTATACATCCGACTTCCGTTGTGGACACGTAGGAGAGTGGACGTGTAAAAGTAAGCTCCTGAATAAAGCAATAAATAGAAGAAAGAGCAAGGGTAGATAGCTGTAATAAAGTCTTTAAAAAGTGGTGAAATACATGAGGACATAATAAACGGTGACAAAAAGTGAAAAAGAAAGTGAAACAGGAAGATTATAAAGGATTGAAAAACAGGTAGGACAGAGAACGCGAGAGACGAACAAGACGCCGATGCAAGTCGCAAAAGAATAGTGCCATCGGATGAACAAAGGAAAAAGTTGTATACGAAGGAAAAGGGAGAAAGAAAGAAGTGATAATAATTAAAGAAAAGTGAACAGTGAATAGTGAAAAAGTGGACAAACAGGGGTATAGAAAAAGTATGGTTAGGAAACCCAGTAAGAAGGAAGGGCACGGGTAGGGAAAGGTGATTTCTTTTTATCGGTTACCGACAGAGAAAGTAGATAAGGAAGATACCAAATTTTCCGACGATAGTTCCGTGGTCAATAAAGAAGGAACTCTAAAAAAAAAAAGGATATTGTTTATAGAGACAGTAGATGAAGAAGTTTTTGACAACCTGGTTACTGGCAGTAGATAAAAAGAATTCCTGAATTACCGGAATTGACAGAGTCGGTAAGGAAGATATCTGTAGAGTCGGTAAAATTTTGAAAATGATAGGAAAGAACGCAAATATTAACACGAGAAGTAATACAAACACAAATCCAAAAATCAAAGATCAATCCACCCTGAATTTCCAGAGAGAAAAAGAGAAAAAGGATGAAAGTCAGAATGTTAAAGAACAAAATGATAAGATGAGTAGGATAGAAAAGAGATTAGATAGTATGTTTGAGTTGATGGAAAGATTAGAAAAAAGAGAAGAAGAATGGANACTACAAATTTCAACATATCTAAAAATTTCTACATTAAAAATAATTTATCATGAGAAAAAGAAATTTCTCGTATGCCAGCTGTACGTATTGCATAAGATGCGGCCAAAATGAAAAATTTGTTTTTAAAGATAACCATTAGCTTGGACTCATGAAAGTCTGGATGAAATTAGAACTCAAATTTCAAATCTTTGACGAAGTGAATTGCAGGTTATCACAGATTTTTCCGAAAATTCCACGATCAACTAGGGTACCCTCTAATTAAATGAGAAATCAGAGGACAAAAAATAATAAGCATGATACAAAAGATCTGTGTTGAAACTTAATAAACGTACCTCGCACCTTTACTAATTAATGATTTGAAAAAATAATATCGTGAAGTAAGTAAAATAACACGTTATTTTCAAATGAAAATGTGATGAAAGTGCGAGATAAGTATTCAATTGTTGGATATTCTGACAAGGACCTCAGTGGGAGTCAATATTTTATTAAAGAAATTACGTAAAGCAATTAGCGATTCCTTTCGTATTTTTTTCATACAGAGAAAATCATACTAATACGTATGAAGAGCGAGAAACATTAAAATAAAACAGCTTATATCGAATACTTTGTACAACTAATGGCTCAACCTATGATGTTTTTCAGCTCGTTATTTTTTATTCATATTTCTATTATTTACTTTTTATAACTATCTTCCAATACCATACAAATATAAAATTCATCCTGTATATTGAAAACCGAAACGACACTGACATTTGCTTTTTCATTGTTTTAGCGGCATGCAGCTATGTACATAATGAAAATGAATGTTATAGATTAACAATTGTCATGTCGATCAAAACGTGGAAAATTTTATATTTCTACTGTATTTGGTGAAGAATTCAGTCCATGCATACTCATCCATTTGTTTCTTATCGTTTAAAGAAATGTACAACTATAAATTAAGAATTTAATAAGGTGCATTGAAATGATACATTTTTTATGTGAATAGTCCAGAAAAAAATGTTCATCATAACATATTCACGTAACTTAGGAGTTAAACGACATTCGGCAAGTCGAAAATAAGGCTATAACTAATGACTACATTTTAATGGGACGATTTATAGTACTGACTTGTGAAGATCTCAGATAAATTTTATATTTTTGAAAAATGAATAAAATGTCACGAATTTTCCTTTCTTGCAGACGACATTATTTTTTTATTTACAAAAAACTGTCATGTCCTCTTTCATTCACCATAATGCTACAAACTGTCTTAGAGTCTGACTTAACGTATTAGAAATTATTCAGTGTATCAACGAATAATCTCGAAAGTTTAAATACATCCCAATATTTCTTTATATTCATGTATCTCTGCGTTAGATGCTTGTGTTTGTATAATATTTGAGTTTACATTCTTTTACAAGAATCTTAATAAAATTTACAACAAACCAAGACGTCTTGAAGTGAATTCTATGTACATTACTATGTTGTGTTGGCGTGAATAATTTGATACTGAAGTTGGCTCGGAAAAATAAAAATTGATCTTCATTTCAGCGTATATAACTACGGCAAAGTTACTCAAGTTTGTTCTAGACACATAACTTTAAGTATAAAATTAACCGTGACTATTCCAAACATTTCTGTCATATAAACAGTACTGAAATGAAGGTATCATCGTCATTATCACGCTTTCATAAAATCTTCTCTCGCACGATGGATAAAACAAATACCACAAATTTTCGAGATGTTTCTTCTTTTTCTTTTTTACAAACCCTCATTTGAAATGCCGCGAATTAATCGCACATGACCCATATGCAGGAGACTACCCGAAAGTAATAACAAACAATTCTCACAGTAGCCAAGTAACATAGTTGTTTGCTGAAACCTACTCTTATCGTATACTACCTTCCATGAAAAGATAAATATACACATTTCAGAGTATTACAGACCAGTGTAAAACACACGATAACAAACTTATATTTACAAGAAAGACGAGAGCTCGAGGGAAACTGACCACAGTCCCGTCAACACTGTCGACTTTGTACATTATTTTTTCCTCATCAGAGTCACGTAGTACTCGCAAATGCTGCTGATTTACCAGCCACCATTGCCTCTTCCACCTCTACCGCCACGGAAAATCGGTGCACCTCTAAACTGACCACCTCCACCGCCTCGATTCGATTTCATGTTGCGAACAGGCGGGCTAGGCATCAGTGGCGGTGGAAAGCCGCCCATCGATGGCATTCCTCTGGGACCTGGTCCTGCAGGGGACATCCCTCGATCCATCCACGGTGGTCTGAGTCCGCCTCTGAATATGTTACCTCCCTGACCTCCGGGTCCTACAGGACCTGGACCTCCTGGGCCATTCGGTCCTCCTCCACCACCACCACCTCCTCCTCCTCCTCCTCCTCCTCGACCTACAATACCTCTTTGCATCGGTGGACCTCTTGGGCTGTGAGAGATTTTCCAAAAATTAAAATTGTTTTTATGCTTCTATGTATCCTTTAATTTCGGTATGTATGTTAATTTATCTAACCATTTGATGTATGATGAAAAATCAGACATTCCATAACTAAAATTTCAAGTAAAGTAAGTGTTTTTACAAACCTCCCCAACTGGTTATCAAAGAAATCAAAATCCTGTGGTCCTTGAGGAAAATCCATTGGCTGAGCTGGTGGATAACTTTGATTCGGCCTAAATTCTTGCTGATTTTGAAACGACTGATTAGGTCGAAAGTCCATGGATTTATTGTGCCTAAAGTCCGATTGATTTTGCTGGAACTTTTGTTGTCCCTGGTGAAAAGTTGGCACTGGCGGTGGTGGGGGTGGTGGTGGCCTTGTGTCTACCCCTCGTAATTCTGGACCAGCGTTTCCACCTCTTTGTGGTGGACCCTATACAAATTGTTAAAACCAATGGAAATATGGTGAATCGATAACATTCTAGCGTTACCTGAGCTCTACTTGAAATATTTACCATATTAGCATTCATAGGACCGCTTGGTGGCATCATGCGCATGTCCATGTCAACTGCGTGGTGATGCGATGGCCCACCTGGAAGTGGTGCAGCTGGCATGTTGGACACTCGCATGTCTCGGTCACCTTGCGACCTTACATCTACCAATACTCGATTACCTTTTTGTTTATTCTCACTTTCCTCATCCGACATTTCCATGTCCACGCTTTCGACATTGTCACCAGGTGGAAGATTTGGCCTCCTAGATAATTCGAATAATTAATTTTAACATGATGCTTTCAATAAAAAATTTGATGTTGATGTTGCTGAAAGAAGTTTTTCTTTTTTCATGCCTATAATCCTGATCTGTGTTCGTCCATAAGGTATTATTTGGTAATGAGCGTGATGGCGAATCGTTACTATTGTTCGCTGGACTACCTGTGAGACTAATAAGATTGCGATGATCAACATCAGATCCTTTCATGAGACGTTGAGGTAATTGCTTCTCCATTGTCATCGCCATAGGCAAAACCCTGTAATATTGCCAATCAAATCAATCGTAGTTTCACGTTCTTTGCACTTTGGAATATAATGATAATATTATATTCACCTATGGTCAACATCCCCAACGCTGCTAAGAATCGGCTCCTGCGACTGAGAGTCATTGTACTCGACAGGTGCATTGAAACTCGTTTTTTCATACATAGGCGGTGATTCCGGAGTTTCCGAGAGTTCATCTTTAACCCTAACATTTTCCGCCCAGGACGGCTCGTTACTCACGTCCCACTGGTCGTTACTCGTTTCATTCCACTGATTCTTTGACTTGTCGTTTATCGGAGGCCAAATGGGATTCGGATCATTAACCACGGGATAAACATCTAAGAAAAAAAAAAATAATGATAATAAAGCAATGACACTCTCACGTACAATGTAAATAAACAATGAATAGCTCACGGCACATACAAGGATTTTTATCTTCCCACTTGCTAGTAACAATTTCCTTTGGTATGGCAGGTTCACTATCAAAAGTCCAGGTGGGGAATTTGGGCGGTAGCTTGTTGTAACAAGTATTGTCGTCCAAAAACTCGAGTGGTGGCATGGGAGGCGGTTGTAGAGGATTCACTGTAGTGCTGAGTAGTGGCGGAGGCTCGAACAGATTGCCTGTGTTTTGACTATTTTCACTTGAATAAGGCGAGGGTGTGTGCGTCTCTCCATTCAAGTTTCTACTAATGGGCAAAGGCGTGCTGTGACCTATCTGACCAAAACTTGACATGTTTGTCATTGGCGTCTTCATAAGGCTTGACGTTCTGTTCATCAAGGGTGTCGTAGGAATTGAACCCAATATGGATGGTCTGTAGTCATTGCACATGGCATCAGATATGGTATCCGTGCCGTCCAGACCCAAGCCGGGTATTCCGCATGAATCTGACGTCGTGTCCGATGATGGTAGAACTGTCTTTAAGAAATTGGAAACCGGCTCGTCGTTATTTGCTTCCGACATCGAGGGAAGAACGTCGATTATTTCACTGGATTTCTAAAACAGTGAGTATTGTTTTAATATACGATTTATAGCAATGTGCATACACTATATCATTACTTCATACCTCATTCGCATCGTATTGCTGACTGTTGTTGGATGCCGCAGAATTTTCATTGAATATACTCCTCTGTAAAACAAAGAAAGATTTTAGTTCTCAGTTTTTAACCACTAGATTCAAAATACTCTTAAAATTAGTCTTACGGGGTCAAAGTCCAAGTTGCTTCCCATGAATGATGAGAAATTATTTGTGAAATCTGCTGTCGTGTTATTCATAGAAGCAGTAACTGGATTGTAATCGTGTCCGTAAGATCCGTACATTGTCGGGGGCGCCACGTTTATTAGGGACGACTGATTAATTTGATTCTCGTCTGGGAGCTCTATGTCGCTGTCGGGACTCGGAGATGGAGCATTCACATCCGGCGATGGGATAGGCGAGGCTAGCAATGGCAGCAATTCATCCAGTTTTTTCTTCAAATTTTTCACTCTGTTTCCAAAATTTCTGTAGGCCTGTAATTTAAAAGTAGCCGAGGAGTTTGAGCAATCAATCTTTTAACGAACAGACAGTAAATGATTGTCAATACTCACATTAACGACAATTTTGACTTCACCCCGTTGCGTCTCGTAAAACTGATCGGCTTGCTCAAGAAGATCAAGAACCTGCTTTCTCTCTCTGATTTCCGCCTCGAGAGACCGCACGTAGCTCTCGATGTTCCTCACAGCACCGTCAACTTCCTTTTCGGCATCCTCAACCCTCCTTCGATCCTTGAGCGACGCGCACAACTCCTCGGCATTTTCAAAATCGAAGTTAGTGTCCCTCAGATCCCTCAATCTCGAATCTGTAGCCTGCTCCAGAGTTGAACACGATCTCATCGTCGAGATGAGCAAGGCCGCTTGAAACTCCTCGGATTGCTGCACGGGCTGGGGTTCCGATTTCTTTTTCGGGGCAGCCGATATGAGGCCGGACAAGTCGGCCAGGAACTCCTCGTCGTAAACCTGCCGCTGATCCCAGATTTTGAAAATCCTTAGAATGCGGTGTTTTACTTTTTCGTCGCGAACCATTGTCGTGGCTCGCTGCAGCGTTGTGCCCCATGACTCGACGAACTCAAAGTTTTTCCTTTTGGAGTATTGGATCACGTCGTTTGCCAGGTAGAAAAGTGTTAGCCTGTGCTCTACTTTGACTGCAAAACAGGGACATATGAATTATTACAAGTAGCCCCTCTTGGTTATTTGCAGTAAGCCAAGCCATGTAAGGAATCTAAATTGTAGCACAAGTACATGAAGTAATCGTTAAAATATCTTACCCTTTTTTAAAACTTGTAACCATGTGGAGACTATTTTTTTGTGATGCTGTCTCCTTTCAAGGCACCACGATGAAAGACTCTGAATAGATTCTTGTGAGTCTTTGAGAGACTGGAGCCTGCGTTCAAACTGCTCCGAATCAAAGTCATTGGAAACCATGATTGGAGCTTAATATTTAATGTTCCTCCTTTCTGTTGAGTCTTACAAAGATACAGGAGTCTGCAAAGAACGTGTAATTGAGTACTTACTCAAATAAATCATACAACATGTGTAACTACAACTACTTGGGTAATTTCTGATATTGTTGTGACATGTTTAAAATATGAATGTAAGAGGATCAAATACGAAGATTCGAAATGAGAAAAATAAAACCAAATAAACACTGCAAACCAAGAACGAATTTGATACTGTCACTTTGCACCAACCACGTTGTCAAGAGTATCATGCCTCGAACTCAAATGCACTTGTACAACAGTTCTGTTTGCATTATCAACACCAGAGAGTGTAACACGAGATTAAACAAAAACATCTAGCACAGTAGGGAGCAAGTTGCATAGAGCACGAAACTCTGAAAAATCAGAAAGTACAAATCGATGGAACACATGAAACCAGATAACAAACAAAAACAACAAAAAAAGACAACTCTTTTACACACACGCGGAAAAATCGATCGATCGCTCAACTATACCGAGAAGGCGACCTGGCCGTAATACCCACCACAATCCACACACTTCCTGACTGACGGCCATTTTTTGTTTACACGAGTTCAGCGCCCCCCTGCACACGCTCTTTGCCGCTCACAGGATCGACGTTTTATTAATAATTAATTTAAAAAAAACAACCTCATATCCACCTCTTCCCCCTTTTAAATTAAACAAATGACGAATCTACAGTTTGCATTAAGATGAGAGAAATAATAACGTTAGATGTGTTGAACACTTGACGAAAAAAAAAAGCTCGTGTAGCAGACGCCCTTAATAAGCTCTTCTGATGGTAGTTTTCTCTCATTGAAATGAAGTAAGAAAAATTAATACCGTGAGCCAATTGTAGGCTAAAAAAATTGATAAAACACCCAATGGCAGTAAGCATGTACATCCTACAATAAATAAACTGGTACATCACAAACTTCAAGAGCATAACTTCCTCGTACTGCATGATATACGTTGACGCAAAACCAACCCCATCCTAACACACACAAACACACTTTATCACCAAAACATAGGTAATTACTGTATTTTAGTGATTAAAAAATGCAAAAAAGAATGTGAAAAAAACAAAAACTGAGGAACCCCATCATACAACCAGAAACGAAATACAAAAACCTAAGCCCTGAAACAAGTTCATCCGCACATACACTTTCACCAGAGAATATAGAATATATCTCTTTAAGATATATTCTATATTCTCTGCTATCACACCTGGCAGATGATTGTACTCCCTTATAGTTTTTAGGTTATACGGTTGTGGCATGTTTTACATGTAAATTTGTATATAAGTATATGTAAGTATACATGTGTTTATGCATATATGTGATATATAGTAATGGTACATTATACATGTGTTTATGCATATATGTGATATATAGTAATGGTACATGTTAACAATGCCAAGGAATTTCATTGACAATACTTAACATGTACTTAATTGCACTTGAACAACAAACTGTCACAGAACCACACAAACTATTTGGTTTTGGTTCACATTTCGCCGGACAAGTCTTTTTCTCGACGAAGCCTCCTCGTAATGGTCTGTTTGTCTTCCGTTGTCGAGATAAACTAAACTACTTACACAAAAATGTTTTAAAAAAAAAGGAGCCACCGGACTTGCCGGAATGAACAACTAAAATTGTACGAGTCGCTATGCCTCGCTCGTACACGAAGATTGTCCCTTTATCATGTCACAATAAAAATGATGAGGAGGACGTCGAAGACGCGGTTACAGGGCGAAGGTATTTGGCGGCCTAACTTAGGCCAGGTGATAGGGATTGCAAATATATACGTATACTAGTAGGTATATGCAGAGATAAAACCAGAGCCCCCGCAGCTATAGTCACTAATGTGTGTTACATGCTCTGGCATGTGGCACTGTGATAAAAAGTGATTAGTGCAATGATAAATATATGAGCAAAAAAACACGCAGTAGGTATGTGTACACGTATACGCACTTTTTATCAAAATCGCCAACTGAATTTATGCGCGAAAATTTGAATGACATGCAAAATAAACAATAATTACTAAATATTGGCTGAAAACTTACGGAATTAAAACAAAAATTATTAAAAAGTGAAATAAATAATTTAATTTTATAGGAACGATTATACATAATTTCTTTGCTCCCCTTATAAGATATCAAAATTTGTTTAACTGTGTGTGTTTATCAATAATTAAATAATATTATTTATTTATTATTAACATGAATGTTAGCGTTATAAGAAACCCAAAATATAACTTTATTTTATACTGACATGCTCAATTGCGATGCTAAATTTCAACTTGTGACTGTGATAATAGTTATTAATAATCACACAGTTCTATTCGAGTTCAAATGACTTCATAATATAATATAAAGTTGATCATGAGTTTCTTGTCGTATGTCACCGAAAATTGTATTGTTTAGGAATACTTGATAAATTCGAATGAGATGACTTCATTGAAAACTTTGCGTTCGATATTTAAATTACCGATCGTCGCCTGCCGCTCGTTCCATAAATACAAAGAATTTTTTAACGAATTATGGATCGGATATTCTATATTTTATTTCTCTGCAAACTAATTAACTTTATATCAAATTTTTCGTATATATTTTTGGAACGAACGATCCACGCGACAAACGGTAATTTTGCGAACGTGTCCAATTTATGCCGTTAATTAACGTTTCATCATAATCAAATTCAAAAAATTCCATCGCATTTACTGAAAAATTGCAATTTTGGGAAGATTCTCCATATACATTACTAAATACAAATGTGTATAAGAATGACCTAATAACTTTGAAGTACCTACTCTCTCTCTCTAGAATATGTAAAATGTAAACAAATAACAGACGATGCGTGTATGGTTTGATCGAGAGACGTTACGTTTCAGTTAGACAAGTTCGAACCTTCGAAATAAGTAGGATAATAGTGAAAATTGACGATCGCGTCCAAAAACATTATTGTTTTACCTGCATTGTGATTTTCCATTAAATGAATTTAACAAGCAAACAGTCCTGTCACTAACTACTCAAGAGGCTGCATTGGAAGCTGTAAAAAAAACTAATGAGAAAGTTCGAAGAAACCACTGTCGTTTGGGAGAACATCTCGAAGAACGATGAAGGTAAAATCCATATTTTTTAACATTATCAAGCGAATTTTTGAAAAACATGACAAGATTTACGAAAAAAAAACTGTACATGATTGACCCTCTAAATAAATAAACTGTTTTAAGTTATATTATTGCTATTTAACGTACAAATTTCAAATGTAAACCATAATATCCCATTATGCTCCAAACAAAACTTACTCTCCCGAAATTTATAAAAAAAAAATATATATACATATGTTTTACCATGTGCATTTATTTGGAATTGTTATTGTACTAAAACTTATTATATGTATACTTGTGTCCACACACTTTCCAATAGCGTTCATTATAAGTACATATGTAAATATTGTATTTTTAGAAAATTTTTGAATGTAAAATGTTGATGTACCATAAAAATATTAGTGTGTACATACATATATATCACAATTAATAAAAGGATCTGATGAAAAATAATCCAATTCCAAATGTCATAATATATTTATACTAAAGATATGTCAACAAAAAAAAGATATACATATATATATATAATATTTATCTACTGAAGAATATGGAGGGCCTAGAAAGTTTTTTACTTTCTTTGGAAGGGAAAGTTTTATTTGTGGAATTTCTCACTTAAATTTCGCACCCCACGTGTAAATATTATACACGTGGATTTGGTATCGAATAGACCCAGCGAAATAAGTACATTAACCATTAAAAATTACACCACAAAGAACGTAATCTCACTTCTGAATTTTTAAAAACGCATCATCTAAAGTCTTATAATTCAAGAAAGATAAGATACGTTTTTGATTTGATAAGACATGCATTGCAGTATAATACTTATCATGTCACATATGATAAGTACCAATTGTACTGAATTTTTTTTCCACACATTTTCCGAATCCCAGCAGATCTGGAACAAGTGATAATAATTTAAGTATCCCTTGCCCCATGCACACATGTATAAACGTGTCATATCCTGCCCAGAGCAGTTTTTGGTTTTGGTTCTTCTTTCCTTCATATCACGATAATCAGTATAGGTATAATTTTGCGCGACGACGGGAAAAAGCCGCAACCAGTTTAAACTTGCCGAAGAAGCAACCGTTATACTTTATCGTTTTTCAAGTTTTATATTACATCAAGTTGTACCCACGTATGTAGTACGTACTTGGTATCGTGCTAATCAGCATGTACTTATCAGTTATTTTATCTAAGTTAATTCCAGTGTGAGATCACTCTACTCCAAACTGTGACAGGGAGGGTGATCGATACTGCGATAGCTGATTTGAAAGATATATCTGTGTGTGTGTGTGAAGAGGAGGCCTCAAAACTTAAAATAAGGATTGTACTTATTTCTCAGATTTATTAACATACTTTACTCATTATCTCTGTATAGGTAAGTAAGAGAAAAAAGAGTGAAAAAATCATAAGTGCACACACAGTATGTGCATAAATACTTGAAGGTGTAAGAACTTATTAAGTAGGTATATATAAGCATTGCACGATATTAATCGGATCGATGTGAATATTTGCCACTAAGAAGAAAAATAGACAAAAGAAAACGGATTTTAGAAATAGGTACGACAGTCTTTTGCTACGTTTTCCAATCTGGTTTTTCCATCGTCAACGTTGTTTAGTTCATATACGTAGGTCGTATAGACTATACGCGACTACGCGTCGCGTGTGTTGTTATATATTACACATATAGATATATTAGATATAGTCAATTGGGCAATTCGGTTTGGGTACGTGTAAACATACACAAACGCACCGCTAAACAAAATTTACAATTGCATGCAAGCCGCAAGGAGTCTTCTAGAGAATTGTTACAGGTGACGTGTCCTTTTGCAAATAGCTTGGGTATAACGTTTAATACTCGTCTAGAGGATCGTTATAATATAGGATCGTGGGAGGAAACAAGAGTTTGAAGAACGAAGACACCGGGGGGGTGTATATAGTGATCCATGTGCGGCCACCTAAAGGTTAGGTTGAGCCAAAGTGCTACTGGTGTTGTTGTCGGTGAACTCAGCGTCTTCCCCTGGAACAGATAGCTCCAGATGAGGTCGTCGAGCTGAGTGTTTACTTTACGGCAGTGCGCCTTATTCACATAACACCTCTTTTATATCACTCGCCCCTTCCCTACTGCCCTCTCAGACGTCTCTGCTGCTCTTCCTCTCGTTCAGAGCGTCTCGAGAGTCTCTTCCGACGATTTTCTGTGTGTCGGGTAAGTTTATTGATGTATATATAATTATTAATCCTGCTCGTATACTTGTATCTATTTCATTTTTTTTTTTTTTTTTTTTTTTAATTTTATTCATCATTGAATGATCTTGTTCGTTGCTTGGGCATTCGATGCTTGGCACAGTTTTTTCTCAGCTGTTGTAAATTTGTTGGTCGATTGATTGTTTGCATTTTAACATGAAATGAAGTGGATTCACGTATACGTGGACTGTCTAAATAAAGGTTTTTTTCACTAAAGTTGAGTGGGATCAAAATTTTAACGTGGTTTTTTGTGAAAGAACATTGGCCCAATGCTACCATGAAAGAATGTTGGATGTACACAAGTCTGAAGTTATTTAAAATTATTTCAGATCATCAGTTGAGCAACATGTATGATAATATATTTGAAGACTTTAATGTTGTAAAGCAGCATTGCGAGAGAAATGGCTGTTCTGCTTTCGAGGAGTCAATAGTATTTGAGCTGTTGGAAAAGTACTACCCAAAATATGGATCAAGGCAGTCCATTCAAAAAATCTTAGACATGTTGGATGCTCAACGAATAAGAGAAGACATTGGAAATTTTATATTAGATGACTTACCACAACACATGAGTGTAACAGTTAAGGATGAAAACGTTTATGAGTCCAGCATTGATGCTGATGATGATGAGTCGAATGAAAGTATTATCGAGTTAGAGGTGCCCAAAAAGGTGTTTCCATTTATTGATTTAACAAAGAGTAATTCGTTTGGATCTGATCTCAATGTCGAAGAAAACATAATTGACAGTGAGAAACACAGCAAAAACTCCGTGAATAACAGTAATAACAGCGACGATGAAAATTTCAGTGACATCTATGGTCATGACTCGAGTGATCCTGACATCGAGAGACATGTCAATAATGACTATGTGACCCAAGAAACTAAATCTCATGATCCTCCATTGCTGGATTTATTGGCTGACTTGGAGGATAAATCAAATACTGATATCGTTGATCGAGCTCCCAGTACTATAGAGATTTCCGAAATCATGGAAGAAGAAAACAACAACGATCCTAACAATAATCTGGAAGGAGCAATTTTCGAAGAGCTTATGAACGTTGATCGTAACAATGCACATGTTCAAATTGCTGATGCTCTTGGAAACTCTGATTCTAATAACTCAGGGGTAGAAGAAATAATTGACTCAATGCCAGGTTGCAGCAAAGATTCAGGTACATAAAAACTGTATTGTTCTAGCCCTATGTATTTGACTTAAATAATCTACTGACTCTTTGTTAGGGCAATCGCCAAATACAAGAAATAGCCTTTTAAGCTGTACATTGAACTGAATCTACATACGATTGTTTTAAATCTTATAATTTCAGATCTAGACGTGATCAAGAGGGTTTATAACGTCAAAAATCTTCCGAGTGATCATTCGCGTAAGAGTCCAGTTGCAGGATGTAGCAGGGACTTTAAGGAGACAATAATTACGAGCGACGATAGCGATGTAGAAGATTTAACCTTTGATAACGACTTAATACTCAATGATCTAATATGTATTCAAGAAATAATACCCTGGGCAGAAATCGAAGTGATAATTAAGTTGTTGAAGAAAAATTATAATCAAAAAAATCGAAAAGAGTTGGCTCTTTGGCAATTGATGCAGGAACAGAAGAAAGATCAAGCGAGTAAGCGAAAACTCGATGAGAGCCCCTTATCCGCGTCATCGCCTCCAAAAAAGGCAAAAAATCGTGATTGTGTTGATACCGTTATGATCCCAAGTAACGAATCTTCCAAGGATCTTGAGTCTTCCAATCAACCAGAGTCTGATGTCGCGACCGCTAACGTCAGTCAAAATAATCAAGGTCAAACAACGAAGGATTGTCAAAAAAACGATGGGTCTGCCAATGGGACTACTACGGAAACCGCGAATACCCAAGTGATCATGTTGCAACCAATCAAAGCGCTTACGGCATTTGTCTCAAAAGATCCCATATCCTTGACTCCATCATTAACCACAAGTTCCATTGTAAAGACCAATGCTGAGGTAGTACCCGCGATCCCAGAAAGGAGACTCTCTATCCCTTCTAGTACGTTAAATAGCAATAAATATTTTCCTAATTTACACAACGAAATCGAGGAATTTGCCAAATATTTTACCATGGGTAAAACAGAAACGGACTCTATGTTAGATTCGACTAGAGTTATCCCCAATCCTGTTTTCAAAGGCAGTGGTATGTATTGACGCCTGCCTAAAACTGAACCAAAACAACAAACTACAGATTAAATCATTCCTGATGTTTCAGACGCGCTTCTTCATCCACTGGCAGGAAGATCCGGCGCGAAAGCAGAGAAAAGCAGTACCATCGTGAGGCCGTCAAGACTGTCTCCAATTAAAAACCCCATTTCTGCGGGACCGAGACCTATTCCAGCTCACACTACTGTCTTCCCGGCAAAACTCAACTTCACAGATCTCGCAACCAAGATGAAGAACGGAGAAAACAATCACGGCCCACCGCAACCCACCGCAAGGCTTCTCACACCAAGCTTCGTGAGAATATTGAACAAGGACCCCGTGGGAGTGCTGCGTACGAATCCCCTGTGGTCGAAAGGGGATGTGTCGTTCCTAAAAGCGTATCAAGACCACGGCAATCTAATAGAAGAGCAGAAGCTAATCGTTAGACCGCCTGTTTTGAATAAAATCGGCTCTCCCGCTTACAAGGCGCTGCCACATTACAATGCCGTTCGATTACTCAACAATGTTATCAAAACGGCTGCTGCGCGGCAGGTGACTGTTCGTGCTCCTGCGACAGTTCAACAAGTAGTTGCGGCACCGAAGCCGTTGTACGACCCGTTGGCCCAACCGGGACCATCGTCTGGAATATCTGGTATGCCTTTGGTATTTTATTTTGTATTTGTATCCTGGCGGACATTTATTAATATTCTGACGAATCGATGATTGCAGTGCCGGTCCTTCAGATACCAGGGCCATCAACACTCGTTGCGTCTTCGAAGGCCGAGGCTAAAAAAAATGAGGTCCCACACGCGGTGTACGTGAAACTGCGTTCCATGTTTCCCGAAGTGAAAAAGAGCTACATTAAACACATCTGCGTGCATCCGCCTGTACAATTCAGTGCGAACTCGGATCAGCAAATTATATTGAACGTCCTGATAGATCATCTCCTCCAAGAGGGGTCCAACAATCTTGAAGTGGACCAGATGCAACCGTACGAAATAGATGAGCCAGTCTCAGCGCTGACAGTCGATGAGAAGTACGAGTATTTGGTGGGAATATTCCCCAACGCTGATCCATCCTATTTGCGGAAATTTGTCGAGGAGACGACGAACGACCAAGCGATCGAGGATTTTATCCAGCAAAAGATTGAATCCCATGATTATCCCACCAAGGAGGATTACCTTAAAAAAATTAAAATCACCGAGCAAATCAAACAGTACACAACTAACTTCGACTTGAAAAATTTTTTAGAGATACTTCCAGATCCGTTCAAATACTTTGAAGACTCTACCAGGCAGTCAAATCACAACATCGTAGCAATGGAGTTTCTAAAGTCGCACTTTAACAGATATAAAGTAAGTACCTGTACATTTTGATGTCTAAGCTAATTTTGCCAAGTTACTTGCGTACTTTTGTTGATGTCGTTTTTTTTATCCCTTAAGGTTTGCACACTCACGAGAGCATACAGAATGCACAACTACAATCTATCGTTAACAGCAAAGACTTTATCAAATATGCATCCGGATATGAAATCCAAGCGAAATGCGTACGAAATGCCAACAGAAAACATCCCGTTGCTCCAAGAGATGGCCTTCATAAAAAATAAACAGAAGATCATCGATCACATTCAGACGATGAAAATGAAAGAGGAACAGTTATTCAAGGAGCTAAAGGTATTTGATTGGTATTGTAAAAAAAAAAAAAAAAAAAAAAAAAAAAAAAAAGCAATCATTGATGGGTGGTTTTCATAACAGGATAAAGGTCTACTGTTGACATGTCTATGTTGCTACAACGATGAATGCATGCCCACAAAGTCATCAGAATGCAACACAGGCCACGTGTTTTGCTTCGAGTGCATAATCCGAGGCACAGAGGCTGCATTGGCAGACGGCAATTCGCACGTGCGCTGCTTCACCGATTGCCAGAGTGACATTTCTTTGGCCACGCTGCAAAAGGTCCTGCCACCGACGCAGTTCAGCGCACTGCTGAAGAAACGTCAAGCAGCTGAAGTCGCGGCTGCTGAGGTCGATGGACTTGTTTCGTGTCCGTTCTGTTATTTCGCGTCCATACCCCCGCCCGAGGACAAGGTGTTTAAATGTTTGAATCCAGAGTGCATGAAAGAGACTTGCCGGTGAGTTTTGCTTTGAATTATTTCATGTGTTTTCTCGAGAGAATTCGTTTAAAACAATATCTCTGCTTTTCTCTCGTTGCAGTTTGTGCAAGGAATTGAATCACATTCCCTTACGTTGCGATGAAGTGATCAAAACAGACAAAGCGCGTCTTATGATTGAGGAAAAAATGACGGAAGCTTTGTTGCGCACGTGTTATCAGTGCAAAAAGCAGTTTTACAAGGAAGAAGGCTGTAATAAAATGCGGTGTCCTTGCGGTGCCTTAATGTGTTACGTTTGTGATCGACCTGTACAGGGTTACAATCATTTCAACGCTCAAGGAGGAGCAAACTCAAATCTGTACGTATTATTTTTTTGGATTGATCCGACTTGGAGAGGGCATTTATTTGAACGTGATTGAACTTACAGTTGTCCGCTGTGGAGCGATGATCGTCGCCTGAATGCCGAAGCCGTCAGGAAAGTTGCAGAGGAGGTAAAAAATAGTATACTGAAACAAAATCCTAATCTGAAAATCGATACAGAGAAACTATTGCCCAAAGTGCCACCAAAATCTAGAGGTCCTCATGATGATATACCTAACGCAAATCAATTACACGTAAGTACTCACGATATGGTTCTATCTTGCCAATGATTTTCGTTGATTCCAGTATGAAAACATTGAGACATTTATTTTATTTTAGGAACACGTTAGGAGAGTTGCCAATGCGCCCTGAGTTTTCACGAGCCAAAGAATAACAATAAAAAGCGATAAATCAGTTATTATAAATTGTTCAAGTATTCTTAAGTTAAAACTCGAAAGAATCAACTCGCGTTTGTTCATGTCATTTACTTGTGGATTTGTCTAATTTTACTTACGGACGCCTACTTTTTACGTCTACTTTTAGTTCACGCACGTCATTCATTTCCATTGAAATTTCTTTTATCGCCTTTTAAGAAAACGTTCCAAAAAAAAAAAAAAAAAAGGTAAATTTGACTTATAAACTTAGTAAAGCTAGAACCGTTATTAAATATTTTATGAGCCATTGCTTCTAAAAAAAAAAAAAAAAAATGTAATTCAATGAGTTGTTAGAAAGAAGAAAAAAACTTGAAAAATTTTGTACAGCGTTTCACAAAAATATTTTTATTAAAATTAATGATAAAGTATTCTTAGCTTGATTCCTGTTAGATTTTAAGAAACTTAGCAAGTATAAAATTATATAGCCATATAAATTTTGTACCTGATGGTGTCTCTGAACATTGGATGTGTCGACCATTTTTCAAGAGCGCTTACGTGTTATGTATGAACAGTATCGTGTCTGGTACACGTTCAACATGTGGAAATGAGATATAAATTTTTTAGTACGGTATATAGCTAAAAGTAAGGCGAGTTTGTAATATGAATTTTTTATATGTTTATTAATAAAAAGTCCGAAAAAAGAATCGTACAAACTATACATTTTTCATTGATCCGTCATTGTATTTGTCATCAGTACAAAAGAATCAAAACAATTCCTACAAATACTTGGTTGGTACACTTTGTTGTATTGATAATTTATCTGCGTGCATGTTGTAATTGTTCAGGTGATTCGCGCATTTTCCTCATCCAGTGACAATCTCTATGGTATCGTCGTCATCCAAGTCATCCTTTTTAGGCTGTGCTGCTACAATGATTGTTGACAGAAAAATATTTTACCTTCTGATCGATGAATCAATCAAAAATTGTTTCTTACTTGGTTGAGCGACGAGCGCAGGACTCGTGACGAGCGTTTCCTGCTTGGGTACCGGAGTCGTCGGCTGAGTCGGCGCTTTGTTGTTACCCCCAAAATCTGGCCAAACAGGTTTCGACGGCTCATCGAAACTGGGATCGAAAGTGAGGTCATCTTTGCTTTCCTGGGGAAACTGATTCTTCGGTGGCTGCGGCTGGCTTGGGAAGTACAACTGGCCGTTAGAATTCTGGTTTCCCGGCATATTCGGCGCGTCACCGCTTGGTGGGTACCGGAAGTTGTTCTGGGGCGGTTGGCGCAACGGGAAGCCTCCCCTCAGCGACTCTTCGGCTATGACGATCTGTGAATTGAGCGCTTAACGTATATATGTGATGTATAAGGGTCATTGCATCAAAACTACGATGTTTTGAAACGTACAACGTTTAAAGAACTTTTTCGTTATTTTGTAAGGCCCAAACTAGCTGGAAACTTTTTGAGCCGGATTTTCTGTCATTTTTCGTTAACCCATGTTAATGTAAGCGGGATTTTTTAAATATAAAAGACTATCATGGTACTTTTTTGGCACTTCTGAACTTTGGTTCGATACACATGTGATCGCCAAGTGCTTTCGTACACTATGGTCACCTATACTCTTGGAAAAAAATTATCTATTTATTCGCCACGATAGTGCGTCTAAAATTTCGAGCTGAAAAAAAGTGACGGTGTTCTCTTTCATTACAGAATATAAAACGATTTTTTCCAAGTGTCCAAAACTTAACATTTGTTTCGCGCGATTCAAAAGTGTCAAAAGTGAGTTTCTTAAATAAAACATCTCATACTTAAAAAAAAAAAGAAATGTTAGTGTTCAAAGTTGCAAGAAAAGGTACTAAACGCATGAGACTTTCAGACAATACACAGAAAAAAAATGAAAAATTTAATGTATTGGTGCCATAGAGGCCGTTAATAACTAAATATTTGAAAATTCTTCGTATTTACAGTAATGAAATTAGTTTACGCCTCAAAAAAAGGTTTTAGTGAAACGACCCATACAATGATTCGATCGTTCGATATTTATTTCCTTTTTTTTTCTTCATAACCATTGTTTTTCTTCAGCTACAACTGCACTTATTGAAAAACAATTAACATTCTTCGCTTGACTCTTTCGGAGTGACGGAAAAAAAAAAAAAATCGCACTCCCTCGGTATTCAACACGTAAACTTTATGGAGTTCCAGCAACACATAATGACGCTTCGAGCACTCAAATAAAGACGCGTGTACTATTCGTCTTTTCGACCTCGAGCGCATTGCCAGTGACGACCGGCAAACCAGTTGTTATTTAACCAATGACTCCTCGAGCAAAGTACTGCGAGAAAAATCGTCGCGATGAGCTCACGTGGGCATGCACTGATGAATCCCGAGAATCGTCATTCCCAATGAATTAGTGTCTTTTTTTTCATCCTTTGTACGCGAGAAAAGTTTTTGCCACCCAAGTGGTATTGAAATCAACCCCATGTCATATTAAATAGAACTTTCTTTTTTTTTTTTTTTTTTAGTTTTTTTGGTAGAACAAAAAAAATAACAATTGTATCGAGTTACATTTACTTGGAGATTTACTCTAATGTTTAATGTGCCTCAATTGAATGCTCTAATGTTTCCAATCAATCATCCCTAAAATTTTATTCTAACAAAAAATAAATTTACGTTGAAAATTTTGCCTTTTATTTTTGTTTTTCACTATAGCAGCCTATTAAAATAAATTACGAAGAAGCAATCTGAAAAATTTTTCTTCCAGCGTTGCTGTACCTACCGCTGTTGCGTAACACGCGCGCTTCCCTCCGTCATACGTGAAAATTATTTGAAAAGTTCAATTCGACGAATCCAATGAACCATTTGTTTTCCCACTTCTCCTATATTTTTAAACGATATGAAAATCCACCGAAATTAATCTATATTATCCTTACGACGGTCACAGAATTAAATTTTTCCTTGCCCATCCAAGCGGAAATAGTTTTTTCTGACAATTGTCAATAATTATTTTAAACAATAAGTTAAAAAAAAAAAGGAGAAAAATAGTTTATTAAGTCTAGATTTGAGAAAACTAATAAAACTCCTTGTTATTTCACAATCATCTGCCACAACAAGTATTTTATTATTGAAACTTTATAAAACTAATTATTAGATACTATCTTTTTTGTTAGCGAGATCGACTTTTCTTTTGTTTATCTGATACATAATGAAACACAATAAAAACAATCTGTTATTAATAAGTATTAATTTTTGGTGAATTTAAAAAGTCAAGTATCGGACGGCGATGTTAATAAACTAATTTTCTTAATATTTCTAAAAAAAAAAAAAAAAAAAAAAAAAAAAAACTGTTGACAAAAAATAATATTACTCATTAAATGGTATTACTCGTCCCAACTCTTGAGATTTACAATTATTCTTATCACCAGTCGTTATTTATTCGTTAAAACGATATTCGCTTGGGCCACAACGACACGGATCAACAACTTTGCTGACTTGAGCCCAAAAATCATCACTTGGCGTGAAAAGGTAAGCGCGGAAAATTCTCGTAACGGGAGTCCAGTCATTCTACAATTTAAACAATTAACGCGACTACCATATCCTGCGTCTTGGAGTTCCTGCAGATCCACTGGACGTCGTTCGGCGAGACCCCGGCGGCCTTCCAGTCGATCTCGGGATCGCCACCCCGTCGCTGCTGAAAACGCTGCGGATGATAATACCGCCTCCCATAACCACCACCACCGTTGTGCCAATTGTCGTAATACTGGGCCCAACAAGTGGAGGTGCCCACCATCAGCGCCACTGCCACCGCCAGCATAGATGCGGCCGGTTTTTTGCCCATCCCAACAATACTCGCGGCTAGCCGGCGTAAACAACTGGTGACCGCTACGTCGCTCGTGGCTTTTATACACGTCGGCTCGAGGGTTTTTTTTTTTTTTTTTTTTCCAATGTATACATATAGCGCTCGGTGGAGTATAGGTTTTCGTTCTTTGGAGTTTTTTGGTGGTGGCTTTTAGGGGAGAAAATGATACTCTATCGGCTGGTACTACATTAGCGTTTGTCGCGATCGGCATGACCTGCGGCCTCTCATTGTGTTTGCTCTTTTCCTTTGGGACGGCCTTTTGCCGAAAATGCGAGCCGTAAGAGCGGGGACTTTTTTTTTTTTTTTCCTCCAAAGTGTAACATATGGTGAAAGCTGTCGGTACAACGTGCAATTGGAGCTGTTTGTGGTTTGCGTACGAAGGGAAGAATTAAGGACAAGTGGAAAGTAATTGGTGATAAAAATCAACAAAGTCCAAAATTTGGAATGAGAATTATATATTTGACAAATGCCGGTATTGCAGACTTCTTTGAAAGTAAAAGTACAATAAACTTACCTCTTGTGAATTTTAACTAGTGTACATTTTCGAGTATAGCTGGTGAAATTATTGTTCATTAAAATTATCAACAATTGTTATTTAATAACGGATTGAAATCGTGTTCTTCAACGTAATTTCCACCAAGAGAAAACTATCAGAAAGATCTACCAACAACACACATGATAGATCAATGATAAAAGGTATTACAGTTTTGCCTGTTTATCATTTGTATAGTGTTCATTGTTAAATCGAAATTAAATTTTTTTTTTTTTTTTTTAAATTTTCAATTCGTAAGGTACCGAATGAAAAAAATGTCGCTTATCGTTATACTGTTCGTCACAAAAAAAAAAAAAAATGCATACTTCCACCCGACGAATAAGAAAAGAGAGTCTTCACGGTGACATTCCTTTGAACTGGATTTATTTTGCAAGCAACGTGCAACCAAGTGCACCACAAGATGAATACAACATAAACTATATTATATCCACCCTACACGAAGCCATAAAAGTGACACCTAATATTCATCATCCCCCCCATGCGAGCTATTGGCCACAACCACCCCAGAATCGGCCGACGCCACGGGGGCAGCTGCGGCACGTGCCCCTCCCGCGTTACTCGTGGCTCGTCCACCCGGATTTCTCGTGGCCACGGCTCTCAAGGCTGCGTCCCGTAAAATTTTCAGCCCGTCCCTCAGAATCCCGGCAAAGTCGCACTTGGCTGCAACGGTCCCGGGGGCACTTTGATCCTTGTTGGGTGAGACCCTGGCAGTGGTAGGCGGGGGTGTACCACTCCAGTATTTGTCCCGTGGGGTTACGTCGTAAAACGCCTGTGGTTGGTTACCGGTCACCTGAGGCCGTTGTTGCCAACCGGTCACTGGGCGAGTATCATAATAGTAGTAGTAGGTGCCAGCTCTTGGGACTTGGGGTGGTGCATACATCACTTGGGGATTGACCAGTGGCAGAAAACTCGGTCTTCCTGATGGACTACAAATCACTTGCCTCTGGAAACAAGAAACAACGGCCCGTTTTGTATATGGCCGATCCATTGTGCACATGTATTATGCGTTGCTCACCTTGGCGCGGGTGGTGGGGCTCGCGGTGACGGGACTTTGGCTCGGGATCGGTTGGTCCTTGGCTGCCGGGGTATCCGCGAAGTGGAATCTTATTCGCACTGGTGGAGTTTGAGGCTCGCCGGTGGCGGGATCCTGAAATTTGGTGCAACGATCGTTAATGGAGTTACAAGAGGAACGCTTCGGGGAGGGGTTAGTTGGGGCGAGTCGGGCTTTTCCGATTTGATTTTTTTTTTTTTTTTTTATCAGAGATAACTGTATGATTCATCTAGAGCTGATGGCTGTAAGAATCGTGCCTACCGAACCCATAAGTTTACGTTAGCTGCGGATCTGGTGTACGTATATGAGGAAATTCACAAAAAGTATTCCGTTTTCATGCGTGGCTAAAAAATGTTTTTTGTTCCAAAAATCGGGGACAAAAACGGGACATTTTTTTGTGGATTTGCTCCTATATATGATTCGGAATTAACGACAATTTAGAGCCCAATTATGTTCAATTTAAATGTGCGCAAAACAAACAAGTTACTCCGGCCTCGTGGGTTGGGTGGCGTGAAAAGACGAATTAATTATTACGTACACACGAAAGAGCTTTGGGCCCGTACTCGTATACAATACACAAATGAAAATAAAAACAAATGTAAGACTGATGTGTGGCAAAGATATTTTTTTTTTTTTTTTTTTTATTCAAAATTGATCAGTTCAAGGCAACAATTAGCCAGGCCGTCTAGTCGACTACTTCATGATTTTTTTAAATTGACGTATGTATTGGTACTATTGGTATCAATTGAAATCACTTTTTGAGTCGTATAATTTAATATTGAGCCTAAATTGTTCAGTATTATATGGAAGAAGTTAAAATAATGTAATTTTTAAATTTAAGGAATCGCTTAAAACTGTTGAAACAAATATCGATGGTATTTCCTTTACGATGTTTCAGATAAAACTGGAATTTTTATAATTTTAGTAGTTGATATTAAATATAACTTTATTAGTGAAACACTTTAAATTACAAAAATATTTCAATGAAATCAAATTCCATTTAACACCTCATTGAAATTATAAAATTTTAAAAACCATATGAAACGTAATTAAAATTTATTTTACTGGTGTGCAAACCTGTACGATGTCTTTATTTAAAACTTTTTATTTGGTACGAAATAATTTAAATCTTATTTATTTGAAATTTTTAGTATTAAACATACATTTTTAAATAAAAACTTATTTAATGCATTTCTACTTGAAGCACCGTTTCAAATATTATATTTAAATAAATTAAATAAGTTATATAAAAATTTGGATGAAATGTTTAGCCAAGAGATTTGAAATTTTTGTATCATATTTAATATTAAATCCAAAGACCCTTAACATTTATACGTTTATTAAAAATAGAATCTATTTTAAATCAAAAATGTCACACTGACCTGTTGAATCGGATTCGCCGTGGTGACGTCAGACTCTTGTGGTTCCGCATTTTCCTGAACTTCACGTAAAATGTGCTGGCCCCCCACAGTCGAAACAATCAGAGCCATGAGGCTCCATGCAATCAACTTTTTGCCCGACATTTTTATTCGTGATCGAAATATTGATTACGAGACACTGTGAAACAAGTAACGGCGCGAGGTCCGTTTTATACGTCGAATGTTTTACCTAAAAAGTCACGTAAGTTGATCTCCCGTTGTGTAATTCCTCCCAATCGAGTTTTCGTTTCTTGTTTCCACTTGCGATTTCAAATGTTGTGACCGATGGTAAACTTAATCTTCACGCGTGTCCAATCCGATGACAAAGGTAACAATGGCATATTTCAAGTCTTTTGTGTCCTACTATCTTCAAATTATGAACTGGGAGAAAAAAATAATAAAAATTATAGATAAATTTTAGTTAAAATTACCATCTTACGAAGTTAATTAAATGCAAGCTGGCAAAAGAGGGAAAAGTTATTATTTTTAACAGTAAATATTATTGTTTTAACAGTTAAAATTGCCATTCTGGAACAGTAAACCTGAAAAGGATCGTCAATAAATTTTATTTTACTTTCCCGCATAGTAGTTTTTACGGTTCTAACCACAATTTTTACTTTTCAAACCATAATTTTAACTGTTGAAACAATCATCTTTAGTATTAAAAATAAAAACTTTTTCCTTTTTTTCTATCAGCTTGCATCCGATTTACTGCGCGGAATGGTCATTTTTACTGGAGTTTCTCTGTAATTTTTATAATTTTTTTTCTCTCAGTGTTGATGTATTTAATTGTAATAATCGTAATAGCTTGAATATTTATCCCTTACTATGAAAGCCTCTCACCGTTTTCGAAAGATATTTGAATTAACGGTGTAATGGCATAAGAGTAATTGGCTACTATTAAATCTTGAATATTTTTTTACTGTACGATTGAAAAAGACTTACTTGGAAAGCGGCATTTTCGTTAAAATATTTCAATTACTTCGTTTAAATATAGGTGAATTAATTGATAGTCTAAATAATACAACTGAATTAATTGATTTTAGTAAACCCTTTATTTCTTTTCTTTTATCTTTTTATCATTACGCCATACGCTGGAAAGATAATCTTACATCCTTATTTTGCTCCTATCCATCAAATATTATTCATATTTTAAAAAGTTGATATTGCTTTCAATTATATGGTATGCTTAATAAATGCAAAAGTAACAATGTAAGACTCCATTGTTATAAACTTCAAAGAAAGTTTTTTATACAGTGAAAGTTGGTACATTCGGGAAACAGCGAACGTGACAAGCTGTAACGTGTGTAATAATAATAATAAGTATCAAAGAGCAAAGGCTACAAAGTTTATGAACAGCAGCTTATGAATCACCGCAGTGATATTGAAACATACGTTCTTGTGATTATCCATAAATTAATGTATATATAGTTCATAGGTTTCCAATTAAAAAATATATTAGCTATTTATTTTAATTTTCAGTTGTGTATGCATCCGCGTTGATGCATTATATAAGCCTTTTTGCATGCGTTAAGGGTATTACTATTATTTTTACTACAATTTTTCAATTCAAAGATGATCTCTGAGTTGGGAATGTAACCATCAAATTAATTTTTATCAGTACTGTACAAAAATTTACAACAGTACTTGGCAAATATTTTCTAATGGACTAACTAAAATAATCTCCGAGAATTTTGGATCATAAAACTCAATTTAAAAGTTTCTAGAAAAATTGTAGATTTAAAAAAAGTATGATTAAACTTAAAATATCTACTGATATGACTGATGAATAGGTGGTGGCAACTAGTACACACTTGTTGAAAAAATATTTTATTTTATTTCAAATGAAAAAATGATGTATTAGTTAAAACATGCATACATTTGGATAAACAATGCAAAATGATCGTCAGGCAAAATAGTTTTTTCTCTAATTTTTATAAGTACATGATTAAAGTAAAAAGAAACTCAATTTTTTAGAGCTCATAAATTATATCAAATCTTGTGGTACATAATTTTACTTAAATTATACATATTATTTGAAAAATATATCTATTGAAAAATTTTTTTTCAACAAGACCGTTTGATGAACATCTGTTTTGCTACTTGTATAGTGTTAAAGATTCCTCAACTTAATATGATACGTTTTAAACCAAGCATCAAAAGCTCAAAAATAACTGACGTCAAGACAGGGAATTTCCTTCACATTTTCCTTATCATGAAAAAATATCCAAACGTTGCCAAGAAATTTTTTTAATAGACATAAGTAAACATAAGAGGTTCAGCATTCATGACTAATACCAATATTAATTTAATCGATTAAAATTTATTATCTATACATTTTTAACACTTTCATTATTGAACTTTGTCTGTTGTCATTTGTAAGTATGCATCAAATTAATTTTTTCGACTATCAGAAGAAAAACTTTAATATTTTTGATTAGTGATGTGTTGAAATTAAAAAGATATAAACATGCAAGAAATACAGCGTACACAATTTAATTTTCCTACTCATTTTGAATCGAA